AGTATTTGGGAGCTTGTATCTAATCCTTAAAAGATTTTAGGGTTACCTCTTCAGAGGGGGAAATGTTGGCAGGGAGGGAGTGGGTATGGATTTGATCAAAACACCTTATATGCATGTATGAAATTCTCAATAAAGTTTTTGTAAAAATTATAAAAAGGATAACAACGTTAACATTTGTTACAAGTCCTCAAATAGATGCAATGACATGCAAACACACACACACACATACAACACACACACACACACACAAACACACACATACATACAAATACACATACATGCGAACACATGCACACATACACAACACAATCCCACACATAAACACACACAAACATAAATATACACACAGAGCCCTAAGTACGAGGTAGCAAACACAGGGCCACAGTTCCTATGAGCAAAGCTGACTGAAATCACATATTATTTCCACAATTCCTTATCTTCCATTGCAATAACAGAATTCTTAAGACTGAGCAGGACACACCACTGACATCCATTTGGCTTCTGTTGAAGACTTCATGGTCGAAAGTCAAGCAGCACATTTGTGAAAGAGAGGGTGGGGGGTACCAAGCTTGCATAGTAACAACCTACCTTCATGATAACCAATGCAGTCCCATAAGAGAACTCCTACAAGAAAAGCATCAATTCACTCATAAAGACTCTGTCCCAACAATTCACACCTTACAGGTCCCGCTAATACCCAACCCTGTTATACTGGAGATAAAGCCTCAATATGCATTTTGGCAGGGACTGAAGTGATTGGTAATCTTTTTAAAAGTATTTTCCTCATTATTTTTATCTTATGTGTATGAGTGTATTGCCTGCATGTGTGTTTAAGTGCACCCGGGTCATGCAATGCCTGAGAGGGCCAGAAGAGGGCGTTGGATTCCCCTGGAACTGGCGTTACAGACAGTTGTTAGCCGCCATGTGGGAGCTGGGAATCGAGCCCTGGTCCTTTACAAGCCCAGTCAGTGCTCTCAACTGCTGAGCCAGTTCTCCAGCCCCCTGACTGTGAGTGGTGGGACAGCATGGGCTGGGGTCCCAGATGGAATAAAGAAGAAAAAGGGGGCAAAGTCCCAGCATTTGTCTCTGCTTTTGACTGTACTTCATGTGGCAACTGCTGCACGTACCTGTTGCCTTCCCTGCCATGATAGACTGCATCTTCAAATCGTGAGCCCAAATAAACCCTGGCTTCCTGAAGTTGTTTTACCAGGAATTTTGTCATGAGAACTAGAAACTAGGGCATCAGCCACAGTATATACCAATGTCGCTTCTCCAGTGATGGACATGTGCTCTTCCCCCCTTAAAAATATTTTTCCCTTATTTAAAAATCTAATGAAATGCAGCCTTTCTCAGCCCTGTTGCAGTTCCTGTTATTGTTTAGTTTACAGTTACATTCGATTGAGGATATTTATTTATATAAGTCTGACTCAAAGATGTTTTATCTAACAGGAACGATGAAGTATGAGACACCTTTAGCTTGGTTAAAGTTAATTAAACTGAAGACTGGATCTGATATACCCCTGAGCAGACAAAACCAGTTAGACTTCATAAGTGACCTCATCTTTGCTTATTTGCAAACATAAGTGAAACTTCGGGCTATTTCTTGTATTTGCAGTGGGAGAAAACAAGACAACTCTGTAACCATAACCAACTATTTTCTTTGCTTTACTTCTGTGACTGTCCTATTACAATTTTCCCCCGGCTCTCCCTTCCGCCAGTGGAGGCCAGCACCACCTCTGTGGAACTCTGTAATTCATGAACTGTTGATAACTCTTTAAAAAAATTTTTTTTAAATAGGCCAGGTATGGCTTTAATCCCAGCACTCAGGAGGCAGAAGCAGGCAGATCTCTGTAAGACTGAGGCCAGTCTGGTTTATATAGTGAGTTCCACGCCAGCTGCGACTACAGGGTGACCTGCCTCAAAAAAACACACACAAACAAAAAAATTTTTTTATGTAAATATTTGTATTAATTTTTGAGACTTTCATGCAATATATTTTGATCACATTAATTCCCAACCTTCCCCCACTTAGTTCCTCTAAGATCCAGCCCCACCTCCCACCTATTCTTGTGGGTGTGGGACCACCCATTGGAGAGTGGTTGACCTTTCAGGAGTCATACCCTTAAGGAGAACAGACTCCCCTCCCACCCAGAAGCCATCAACTGTCCACAGCTCCTCATTTAGGGGTGGAGGCTCATGAACCCCTTCCTGCTCCAGAATTTTATTATGGAGCCAGTGAGATGACCCCATGGGTAAAGGTGCTTGCTGCCAGGCTGACGATATGAGGTTAATCCCTAGTATCCACATGATTAAAAGAGAACTGACTCCCTACATGTGCGCCACTACACAAAATGCAAAAAATATATAAAAAAATTATTGTGGCTGTTAACTTGTTTGTTGTTTATAGATAGTAGGTAGGAGTGTGTGCTAAGGATTGAACTCAGAGCCTTGTACATACTAAGCAAGCTCTCTACCATTGAGCTACACCCACAGTTCAGGTTAGCTTTGAATTTGTGATCCATCTGTTTCAGTCTTCTAAGTTCTGGGATTATAGGCATGCACCACCATGTTTGGTCTCAGTTTATTTCTTTAATATTATGTTTATTATTTTTATTTTATGTGCATGAGTGTATTGCCTGCATGTATGTAAGTGCATGTGTGTTGTGCAGTACCTACAGAGATCAGAAGAGGGTGTTCGATTCCCCTGGAACTGGAGTTAAGGATAGTTAGCCACCATGTGGGTCCTGGGAATTGAACCTGGTCCTCTACAAGAGCAGCCAGTGCCCTCGACCACTGAGCCATCTGTCTAGTGCTCAGTTTATTGAAAGCAAGCTTCAGTACAGATGACTTCAGTACTGCCATCTGGAACAGTCCATTTCTTTACACTGTGGTCATCACTGCACAGAAAATCCACATTAACACCCATCAGCATGGGTGTTACTACATCATGATCTGTGCTAAAAGACGTGTGATGAGGCATATGAGAGGCAGACCTGTCCTTGCCTTCACAAGGTCAAACAAGGAATAAAATCACTGATCACACAGTCACACAATTCTTCTACATGATAGCAAAAAGCATATTGTATAGCATAAGTAGACAGCACAAGATCTGAGCACATGGACAACTGTTTAAGTTAGGCCAGGAGGCATCTAATAAGGATCCACAGTAAGGAAACTGAGTAGCAAGCTGGAAACCAGGAAACCCCAGGTTAATTCCAGCAACACATTCACTAGCTGTGTGGCCTTGGTTGGTCTCTTGTGAACTTGACTTTCTTCACTGTAAATGAGTGGAATAATATCTACCTTAAACAGTGTTTCTGTGGGTTGAAATGAATAGCCACAAATGGCAGTGTTTATTTTTATATTTTTCACAGTCTGCCAGAGGAACAGGGCTCCACAGGAATGGCTATCAAGAACAGTTTGTCTACATTCTAGGGGGGCAGCTTGGAGACACTCACAAGTCAGTGGGCTGGTTAACCATGGCAACCAGGACCTGGTTTTCCTTACAAGATGGTGACTGGGTCTCAAGGCCAAAAGGCCCAAGATAATCAGTGAACCAGGTAAAAGTCATGTCCCTTTTGCTTTAAAGTTGCTTGGTGTCACTTCTGCCTCATGCTCTCTGTCAAGGAAGTCATTAAGTCCTCAGTGTTTCAAGGATGAGGAAAGTAGATTCCTGAAGAGTAATGCTATTGTGTCCATTTGTGGCACTGTGCACAGTGACCCAAACTGATACCCCTTTTAGGCTCATTTCCTCTTAAGGTAGAGTTTTACAGTTCTATGAGAAAAGGAAAAGTAGGAAACACATGAGAAGGGGAGAAAGAAAAGTGGCACAGTTTCTGTTGGTAAAGGCCCCACTCTCTATAGCGACCCAGTTCTTTGTGCAGCCCATGGCACTATTTACAAGGTAAGGCAATAATGGTGCCTGCCTAATTCAGTTCTTGTGAAAAGTAAATTAGCCGATTCATGAAATCATGGCATGCCTGGCATGTGGTTAGCACTCCCTCCAATGTGACTGGTTCCACTTTATGTTCCAGGGATTCCTACTGGGTCCTAACTCTGGGGTGGCCCTGTTCCTCCTACATTGTGAATGAAATCCATATGCAAACAATTACCACAGCAACTGTTCAAAGCTATAGCATGGGTATCCCCAGTCTCAATGTCAGGAATGGAAATGGACAACATCCCTGGGCTACTGTGCCCTGGGTTTCCTCATCTCATTTTTACGTACCTTGTCAGGCCAGCATCTCTCTTCTCTCACTTCAGCTCAGGCTGGCCTCCCCAGAATTCTGAAGGCTTGTACATGTGACCTGTCCTGATGGAAGTTCAGAAATCTAGATCTTGGGTGTCCATCTGCAACACACAGAAGCTACCAGTTAGCTACATCTTATAAGCACCACGAACAATCACACAAGCAACCTCTTCCAGATCTGGCTTGGGGAAGACATTGATGGATGGATGCACCATGATGGTTTTCCTTCCCATGCTGACCCCAGCCCTACCTCAGAACCAGGGAATGTGGATGGGGGGGTGGGGGAATCTCCTTAACCAGAAATGCCATATAAATTCTCAGCTGATGCTTAGAATTTAAAGACCCCAAATGGTCTTTAAAAAAAAAGAACAGGATAAACCAACAACTATCCTATTGTCTCTATCAGTTAAATGACAGATATTCTTCTTCCCTCCTTGCATCACAACAGCTCTTTCAAAAAGGAACCTGTGACTTTTTTACTCTAGGATTCTGTGGTTGGACTGAAAACCCCATGTTCCCACATATTTCACTGTTGACTGTTCTTGTCAATCGTGAAAATTCAAAATTGCCTGAGTGTGGGTATGGGAGCACAGCCTTTGATCTCAGCACTTGGAAGGCCAAGGCAGACAGATCTTTGTGAGTTGGAGGCTAGCCTGGTCTACATAGTGAGTTCTAGGTCAGCCAGGGCTATATGCGTAGTAAGACTCTGTCTCCAAAACAAACAAACAAAACTCAAGATTTCCCAAATGTGTTCATCATACTCATAAAGAAAGCAAAATACACATATCAGATCACAGCTGAATCCCTCTGACCGTCACTATCAACACCTGTATCCTTGGCAGAGGAAGACACTGTTTTCATTTGGATTGTGTCTTTCTTGACTGTTGTGTGTGCCCCAGTATTAAACTATACATATACAAATGTGTTTCTTTTCTAAATAAAGGCTAATTATATGTCCATCCTACTTGCTTGCCGCATCCTTAGGATGTCTTACAAATCTTGCAACAGTGTAAGGCGATTGTCACAGTCTTTTCCTTCAATGCTTTCACACTATTTCACTGTTCAGCTCCTCCAACAGGCTCTATAACTAGCCTCAGGCTTTCTGTTCACCTCATGTAAGGGTCACCCACATCCCATCCTTCATGTCTAGGCCCATGTTATATTTCTAGCGTGGACAATTTTTCCTGGCCCATTCCAGTTACTTGAGAGAACGAGCTTTTAGGCCTGGATGCACTGTACATAGGCTCAGTCTCAGATAAATCTCTTGGGCCAATTATTTAACTTAGGAGCTTCATGTATAAAATAGTGACTATAAGAGCAGTTATAACCTATGATTGTAACTAACCTCAAACAGCCTTTTTAAAGATCAAGAAAAATAATACATGGAATGTATTGGTCCATTGCAGGCTACTCAATAAATTCTCAATAATGTTGACTACCACATCACCAACATCATTATCATCAACATGACCACCACCATCCACCACCACCTTCATCACTGCCACTTTCTTTTGGAGCTTTTTATTTTTACATATGTGTTGTGTACTTATATGTGTATTTATTTATTACTGTGTGTGCACATGTATGTGCAGATGCAAATGCCCTTACATGCATATGTGGAGGCCAGAATTTGACATCAGCTGTCTCCTTCTATTGCTCTCCATACGATTTTGGAGATGGTGTCTCTCATTGACCCTGGGGCTCACTGACTGGCTAGACTGGCCTGAACCCTGGGATCCTCTTGTCTCTAATTCAGAAGTACTTTAAATTGTACTTTCACTTTTTTTCAGACAAGGTGTTACTTTGCTGCCTAGGTTGACCTCAAATACCTATACTCAAGTGATCCTCCGTTCTCAGTCTCCTGACTAGCTGGGACCACAGGCACACACCACAGTGCCCAGCTTAACACTTTCTTTCTTGATCCAAAATTTCCTCTGAACATTTACTTCATACATAGAAATACTGAAAAATAATCTCAGTAAACTTCAAGCTCTGTGGTATCACTTCACAACATGGCCTCACCTTTATTAATGGATAGGAAAGAAATTTAATTTAATTTCAGAATGAACATCACAAATCACACAAGGCCAAGGGAGCCAGTGACTAACATCAAGTTCTCCTCTGAGGGACAAAATCTCCAGAACTTCTTCCTTTACATCGGTTATGGCATGAAATAAGTGCAAATAAATAAGAAATAAATACCCCATGTTCTCACTCTTACAGTAATGAAATCAAGCACAATAACAAATTACATGAGGACAAGAGTGTTACTCTCACAGAAGAAGGAAACAGTACATTGACTGCAAGGATGAGGTTGTTTGGCTTTGCACTTTGTGAATGTAGTAGAGTCGCATCTTCTATGATGGGAAGGGCTTACATAAGAGTATAGATCAATAATTATGCTGGAAGCTGAGTTGCTCTATGGAGAGGCTGGCACTAGTGAGAGGCACCTGCAAACAGGCCCACCAAGAAAAGAGCAGATACAAGTGCTCACATCGTACAGACTCTGGGAGGTTTGCTCATCAGGTGCAGTTGCAATGACGGGGGAGCTGATCACATTTCACATCACTCTCTCACTCTTTCACGACTCTCCCACCGCATTCGCCCACCTGAAGTGCTGTGAAGCCTTCCATCACTTCCCAATTGTGTTTCAATTTCCCTTGAGGCAAAAGCATCATCTCTCTCTTAAGCCTCTCTGGCTCCTCAATGTCTCATGACGATCCCGATTTAAGGGATGCTTTACTCCCAAAGAAAATTAAATAATCTCCAACACAAATGCCGGCAGTAAAATTACTTGCAGAACTTGGTCACAAGCTACTCTACTCTTCAGGGGTTCCCTACCCTGGCCACATATCTGAGGATCTCTAAAGCAGTGGCGAGCCCAGGCTATACACAGAATCAATCAGGGTACCATCTTCACTGGGACACCTGTGTAGCCCTACCTTCAAAGCTCTTCAGATGAATCCAACATGCAGGGGAGGCTGAGAATTGGTGACCTAGTGATTCATGATTTCCATATTCACTTGACTTCCATCCAAAGTAATAACACCTTACTACATGATCCATACTGATGCCCACATGTACAAGACAGATGGAAACACTTCATGAAATACTATTTAGCTCTTCCTACCAGTCAAACACTCTGCTATCTCCCACCCTCTTCACTTTTATTTAAAACAAAGCTAGATTCTCATCTTTACCCATTTGCAGGTCACAATCACCAGAGGGTTACGACTCAACATTTATTAACAGTTGTCTGGATAACCCAGAATATAACTGTGTGGGTGCACAAGTGTGTGCGTGTCTGTACATGCTTATAGAGGCCAGAAGTCAACCTCAGGCATCTTCCTCTATTGCTCTCCTTATTTTTTGAAATAGTTCCCTTCATTGAACCCAGACTTTGACGATTCAGCTAGACTTGCTGGTCAGCGAGCCCTGGGGCTTTGCCTGTCTCTTCCTTCCAGCACTAGACTTATAGCTATGTACCGCCACACCCTGCTTTTACATGGATGCTGGGGGTCCAAACTCAGGTAAGTGCTTGCATAGCAAGCACTTTATTCACTGAGTCATCTTCCCAGCCTCCAGAATACAATTTGATAAATTATTTAAAAATATATTTTATTTATTATTTTTTAATATTTTATTTATTAATTTTACTTTATGTGTACACATATATTGCCTGCATGTATGTAAGTGCACCTGTGTCATGCAATGCCTGAGGAGGACAGAAGAAGCCATCGGATCCCCTGGAACTGGAGTTACAGACAGCTGTCAGCTGCCATGTGGGTGCTGGGATTCGAACCTGGGTCTTCTGCAAGAACAGCCAGTGTTCTTAACTAATGAGCCATCTCTCCAGCCCCTTATTTATTATTTTTATTTGATGTGTATGAGTGTATTGCCTACATGTATTTATGTGCATCCTTGTCGTGCAATACCTGAGGAGCTCAGAAGAGGGTGTGGGATTCCATTGGAACTGGAGTTACGAACAGCTGTTAGCTGCCATGTGGATGCTGGGAATCAAACCCAGTCTTCTGCAAGAACATCCAATGTACTTAACCACTGAGCCATCTCTCTCCAGCCCCGGAATTTGATAAACAATTAAAGATTATCTCTGAAATAAAAACTTATTTCAGAGGCTGGAGAGATGACTCAGTGGTTAACAGCACTTGCTCTGGAAGAAGACCTAAGTTCAGTCCCCAGCACACATGTGGGGCAGCTCACAACTTCCTTTAACTCCAGCTCTAGGGGATTTGATACCCTCTTCTGGCCTCCTCAGGCACTGCATTCACATACACATGCCCACCTACAGACACACACATACATATACACATAATTTTTTATAAAGTTTAATCTAAAAAAATTTACTTGAAAAACTTCAAAAGAGGGTATATGAATCTCTGAAAATAAGGGCATACTTGTACATGCCTATTTTGGACATCTTTATTATAGGCCAAATCCTTCATTTCACCAAACAAGAAAAGTTAAACTCGTATGTACTTTCCCTAATGCCTAGACTTGGGTAGTGTTTCCTATTAGTTGTATTTCATATAAACATTTTCTTTTCTCCCCCTTTTTTTCTTGACCGTGGGACCCACTTTAGTGCCAGCAGCCTACAGGTACAAAGGCCAGGCAATGGTTCGGAGCCACGGGTTGCCCTAGCATGGGACACTATGAGAGGCTCATATACATATTTTCATGCAGCATTTTTTCTACGTGAAAAAACCTTAAATGACTCCATGGTGGATCCTCATGCTTAGAGTTCATTGCTCAGTGATGCTGTCTCACTGTATGCTGTTCAGGGCCTTGCCCTTATTTTATCCCTTGCCAAAGGACCACAGTATGGCACATGAGACAGGTGCTGGCATTAGTACTTGCTGCTGAGTTTTCACATTCTGGGACATATTTCCCATTTGGATTTAACAAAATAGCACTCTAGGAGAGGTGATAAAGAAAATGTGGCTCACAGAGGAGGAGGTTGATTACCACTGACACTATTTAACAATTATACTGCATTACAGCCTAGAACTCTTACAACACAGACTCAATCGTTTTAGGTCTCCAACATCCTTACCAAAACAGAAAGAATTAGATATTGCTTGAT